ACACACACATATATATGTATATATAACAGAAAAAATTAATTAAGGCTGCATAAACTTACAGAGAGCACCATAGAGCACAAGAAGGAACCAATTACAATATCCCGGCCAGACATTATAGGACACCGCATAAGGTATTCACACATCAACAAGATAGCAGGTGTCATGACCACATGACGAAAATCAGAGCATGGAAAAATCATGGACCACAGCCTCAAAAGAAATAGAGTCTTCATGGAAGGCCAACTGCTTCTCCCTGTCATGAAGGAAGAGGTCAAGAACAGATCCAACGAGAACAAATGGAAACAAATTTTTAGCAGAAAAATTTCAGAAAGAGCGAAAATTGGAAAATCCAGAGTGTTCCATTCATACTAGCTAACCTGTATTCTTTACATCCTCGCAAAACTGGGTCCGAATGTGAAGCAACCTTTGACGAGCACATATCGCTGCAAAGTATGGGATCTCGGAACTCATTTCCAGCAGTGGTTTGACGAGCAAATTCAGTAGCTTGATATTCAGTGGCTTTTTATTAGCCAAAACAGCAAAATATTGCAATAACACACCATAAAATACCTGAAAGGAAATTTAAGTCTATCAAATATTGATGCATATGCAAGATACATGCTATTTTTTGCAATTTCAAGTTTACTGCATTGTTGCTTTCTACCGTAAGAGGCAGAAAATGACCAGACATACTACACTGAGACAATTTAATTTAAACTTTTCCTTACAACAAATAGATCATACTAAATATAGAAATAACAGATAATCATTGCCTATTCCCATTTGTAACAGAAAATAATGCTGCTCCAAATTTGTGAAAAGTTGTATCCTTGTAAAAAAATGTGGACATGAAATGGATATACAGAAACATTAAGTTACTCAAAACTAACAAATGCAGCAATGTTCCCTACCTGCATTTTCTTCCGGTTCTCTGCGGCAACAGAAATTGCATTGAATGTACGGATTCGCCTGATAGCTTCAATAATTTGATCATCAGAACGATTCTCCAATAGTGCACTAAATTCATCGAAGGATTTAGGAGCTTCAATTGTATAGGGAAGTTCCCCTTGCTCAAGTAAATCCTTTTTTATATTTTCTTTCACTTTGCCAGCATCCAAACTATCCTTTTGTTTTCCCTTACTTCCTGATGACTTCTTATCGTTCGTCATCCCCACACACATGCCGATATCATCTTCTTCTTTTTCATCTTCATTATCAATATCACCACCTTCATCCTCTGAATGACTGTCAACATTGTCATCATCACTTTGCTCCCAGTCCTTGAGAGAGTGATTCTTGTCGTCATCATCACCAACCTCATCAGATCCTTCGTCTTCATCATTGTCCTTTTCATCTTCTGAATCTTCAGAATCATCATCATCATCATCATCATCATCACTCTCAAGATCATTTTCATTCTCGCTTCTCAAGATCTCAGCAATCAAGCCCAATTTAGTTCTCGGCACTGCATCATGAGAGAAGGAATCACCAAGATCATCTCCAGATATAGATCTCCGCTGCTTAGTGGAAGCTTCCTCATCTTCAGAAGCATCAATATCTTCATCACTGGAGTCATCACCAGCAGCAATCCTCTTTAGACGTTCTTCCTGAAATTAGTTACAAAAAGGACAAGTTACTCTGAATATCTTTTTATTTTGTCCCTTAAGTACATTCTTTTTCAGGCTTCAAAACTACAATTAGCTATGTTTACTTAGTGATTTGCATTTTCTCTTTTTTAAAAGGAGTCACCACTTATAAGACTGAATATTCAAGAATTAATAATACTTATATTCTATCTTGCTGATGGGTTCAGTTATATGATCACAGAAGAATCTATGTGCGACTGGTCAAAGTCGTGACCATCATCACTGTTAATACACCTATTCATAACTCTCCAAATGACCATGGCATCACTGAGTAGCAAAAGAAAAAGCCAAGAGAAAAGGAATGAGGTAAAAAGGGGTGGGGGAATTTGATGTACTAAGTATGGGAAGATTGCCATCTTAAATCGGATACCGAAGATAGAAAAAATTTGATATTTTTGTATCAAGTTGATTATGTTAAAATTGGGACTATATCATGCTCGATCTATCGGCAAACATAACCCCACAACAAAAATGTATGTATCACATGTACCTCCAACCGCTCTAAGCGCTCTTTCTCCTCTTGAGCAACCTCTTCAGGTGTCTTTGTACGGTCCGAAGGCCGAGCACGCATATCCATTGCCATCTCACCGACAAGTTTGTCATAAGAATCAGGCTTTTCCTGCCAGGGTCAGTTAACGGCACATATTATGAAAGGGAAACAAAATACAAAAAGAATTTTAAAATGACATCAAATATTATATGGTAGATGTCAAATACTGAATTTACTAAAAATGAGTATAGATTACAATGGAAGGAAAACGTCAAATCAAGACACGCAAATATTATAAGAAAAAAGTTTCAAGATGCCCGACAATGCTAGCAGGTCATTGAAAGTCCGCGGAAACAAAGTTTACCTGTTGAGAGGAAAATTTTTCCTGGGCAGCACTGCTTCCTTCATTCTCAGCATGATCGATTGAGATATTCTTGTTTACAAGAGATTTCAAAGCTTTCATTTTGTTGGGTTGTGTCATTGATAATAATGCCTTAGACTGAACTATAGATACAAAATCTTTGTCCAATTGTTCAATGAACTGTTCATTTTCTTCTTTATCCTTCGCTTTTTGAGCCTATTGAAAATCAGGAATAAGACAGGGAGACAATAAATTAAACTAGGAGACCTAGGCAAGTAATAGAATGAATGACATAAACATATCAACAACCACTACCTTGAAAAATTTGCTCTTTAAAATAATCTCTTCCATCACCTCTTTCTTGCTCTTCTGCCTCTGAAATAAGAAAGAAGTAAAATCATCAGAAGCAGCAGTTCATTGGTCTCACTTTGATAATACATTACTTTCTTAAGTAACAAGTTGATTAATGACTTTGGATTCATGACCAATTCCTAGATGAAAACAAAAATGTAGGATATGACAGATATCGATAACAATTCAGCAGTTTCCATACCAGAACAAGAAAAGATACTGTAAAGAAACATCACTTTTCCAAAGTTTATGAAAATGTACACTTCATGTTGTCTACCAATTGTGAAAATCTAACACAAAGAGACAATTAAATGAGAATATAACATTTGCCTCTGAGAAAAAGGTGTCAGATACATAGTCGTAACATATTGAAGATGGATGAATGATGCATATTAAGGTTAAAAATATTTTGAGTTGAGGCACAATGACCTCAAGAAGCAATTTCGCCAAAGAAATTTCTTACAGAACTACAATAATTGGGGACAAAATGAGGTAAAATGGGACACTTATACCATATAGCAGCAACTTCTAAACCCTCCCTAGCCCATCTTTTCAGTCATTCAGCAGAAAGGGGAAAATAATATTATATGATCCAGTTCAAGGATTGGGGGAACAAATAATCTAATGGGACACACACCACAAAGGGGGAACACTTTTCTATTCCAATTTGCCAAATCTCTTACCTTAGGAAACAATTAAATGACAGTTTTGACTTCAACGTAACAGTGACCCCCAAACCAACTATGCAAGCAAGTTCTATATAGTATCATCGAAAGAGTAAATATTTCCAACAAAATTTTTAAAACATTACTACATCCTTCCAATGGAAAAGGGAAGATGACACAATCTACAAAAAATTAGGAAAGAAATGTCAAGTCAATGAATGAATGGAGGTAGTGTAGTTTCCCCATGTTTATATAAGTATGTTTGCCTAAGCTTATATCTGCTCATAAGCAGGTCTACTCTATTTTTACCCACACATTCCACAGAATACACAATTTTTACATACTTTTTAACCACGCATTCCTTGGGACTCACTACATATAAGCACATAAAAGCTTAGCCAAGCAAGCACTACAATGGGGAAAAAAAGAAAAAAGGAAAGAAAGAAAGAAAGATAGAGAGATAGTAGATGCAAAATTTCTTTCCTTCATTTACTGATAGTCAGAAAATTGATAACAAACATTTTCAAAATGTTGAAAGTCTTGAATGAAGTGATGCCCAGTTTGCCCACATACGCAAAGTCAGATAACAGGACGTATTTATAATATTTATAATCAAATACGAAAGTAGTTAAACTTGAACCAATAAACATCTACAGATTGTGCCATTACCATTTACACAAAATAGAAGGGAGGAAATGTGAAAGATTTAAGAGTGATTATCATAATGAATAGAGGTTGGAGAAAGAATTAGGTAACGGAACTCAGGCTCGAAACTCTTGATTGTTATTCCATCAAAAAATCAACAATTTAACACAAAAAAGGAAAGTTGACTCACATTTTCCTGTGCCACGAGTCTTTCTTCTAAATCGTTCTCTGCCCCATGAGGATCAAGTTGTCCTAAAATAGTTGACTTCTCTGCACAAAAAGGGAAAATTAGTTTATACAAAAGAGAACGAAAAGGAGGATCAGTTAATGATATAATAGATCCACTCCTTATCAATCATCAGCTTATAAACTCTGAATGCAAAATGCGGTAGTGTAAATGATTATTAAGCTTGAAAACATAATTGATAATTTCCCTTGAGAAGAGAAATGTGTAGTTCACTTGATCACCGTCTATGATATTACATTTGAGAGGGACCACTTCAAAGACTAAGTTACTGCTAGAAATAACATCCACTCTAATGGTATACTAACATTTTTTGATAAGCTAATGGTATACTAACATTAAAAGCTGAAAATAAACAAGCAGTTCATAATTGACAACTCCACTACCTATGATGCACCGATGCGACATGTGTCATACATGTAGACACGTGATTTTTCAAAAAAGTATTGACACAATAAGTCGCCGACACATTGAGTAAAAATTATTTAAAATTCTTGATCTATATAGCATAAATTTAGTTTTGTATTTGTTATTAATTTTTCTTGTTGAAATCTTTGAAATATAAGTATCCATTTGTTATTTAATAATAACTTTGAATTAAAAATTTATAATATTTAGGATAAAGAAAAAAAAATGATAATGGTAGAGTGTCCAAGGTGTGTCGGTATCTGACACGTGTCGGACAGGGACAAGCCACCCTAGTTGAAGTGTCCATGCAACATAGTTCACCACTAAAACATGGTCAATGTCTTTCTCAATACATGACAAAGAAGTGTTTGTTGATTTTCATCAAACCGTGAAACGAATAGTGGCATCTTGTGCTTTGCTCAGGTAATTTCCTCGAACAAGATAGAGCTAATAAATCTTCACTAAAATAATGTCCAATATTCTTACTCTACAATCAAGTCCAATATTTTGTGTAGGAAAACTTTGGAGACAAATTTGGTAGGTAGTTGCAGTTTTGCAACTAACACAGGTAGACGATTATCAGGTTTTAGTGGATTATATATAGATAATGGATGGACGGTTGTTGGGACTAAGGGTGTGTTTGTCTCCCATTATTGAGAGAAAAATAGAGTAATGAATAGTATTTTTTGGAAAATTTGTGGCTGAAATTTAAAGTAACTTTGTTGGTTTGTGTGTATAATATTTTATTGAGTGAATGTGTGGTGAGAATCTTACTGTAGCAAACAATTTTTTGAAATAATGGTTGACAAATAGGGGATAAATAAGCAATGTGAAATATGGCTTGGCTGTATTATGTAATATTAACATTTCCCAGATTACTGTTCAAGGTGGGCTAGGACATTTTGAGATAATTAGATTCTGGACTAGCCAGGACATTGATTAAGCAGTGTAAGAATAATGGAGTTTAACAGGGTTCTGCAAAAGTAACGAACTAAAGGTGTTCTAGAATGCAGTAAAGTATAGAAGAAGAGAAGAAGAAAGTCTAGCCATCACCAATCTGGATCCCATAGGTATCGCGTGTAGGGCTAAATTCCATCGCCCAATCACAAGGAAGCTTCAAAAGACAAAACTATTTAACACAGTCAACAGATCTCTGAGAACTTCATATATTTAAAGACTCCAAGAGATCCCATATTCCTACAGGCAGGCTCCTTAAGAAAACAGCTAAATAGATAACGGATTCTAAACGACTTAGAATAATTAAAACATTAACTCGTCCCATGTCAGCTTAAGACATTTTAGAAAATTCTGAAAGTTATAGAACATTAGATTTACCCGTGTCCTGCAATAACATAAGAAAATATCCAAAAAACTGACTTAACTGTTTTAGCCTAATTTAGGAGTCAACTAAAGATAAGAACTTGGTTGTAAGATATCCAACAGAGCCTGCTTAAAATGGTGTTTGGGATTCTGCAAAACTGGTTTTAGTGGGTACTTATAGTAGCTAAACCTAGCTTGACAGCTCAATCACTTATATCCAGTTATTAACTTCTCAAATTTAATTTTTTTTTGGTGGGGGGGGGGAAGATTTGAAACAAGGAGCTGGTTTGCATAGAAATGTTCCACATTGCCCTAAAAGATGACATCATCAGAACTTTTCATCCACGAAATCCAGTGAAGACTTTTATGATGCCAAGAGAACAAAATTTCCAGGGATAAATTCGTGATCTGATATATGAAATGAAAATCAGGATTAAAAAAATTGAAAGTAGGAACGGACCAATTTGGTGCTTGAGTTCAAGACAAGCTAGGATAATGTAGAATTAGTTCAAAAAAGATTGATTTTCTTACAGAATTGAAGTACAGTAGGCACACAAGTTTATTTCAATTGCTGCACTTATCATAAAGGACATTAAAGACAATACATAATTGCTTTCTCTTGAGCCTTTTTATCTGCATCGACTGTACTATCAAGGTCAATTACACCAATCTCATTCATATTTCTCAACTCGAAAATTGTAAAAATCTACTCAAAATTTCATAACAATGAATAATATACTATAGAAAAAAAAATGATAGGCAAACTTACTTGCACTCCCAGATGCTTCGCCATCCCCATCCTCATCAAACGGTAATTCATCTTCAAAATCATCTCTTTCTGGAAAGGAGCCACTGCCTTGAAAGTCAAATTCATCTTCTTCCCCATCAGATAGATTATATTTGCTTTTCTTCTTCATTTTTAACTGGCAATTGGAAGAGACGTACATTAATACCAGCAATAGGAAAAAAAGAGTAAACCCAGACCGATCAACCTACAGAATATAGTGAGAAATTTTTTCATGAAATTCACCTGTCGTTCGCGCTGAGACCTTAGAATTGCCTTATCAAACTCGCCAAGCACCTCATTTTGCTCCCCTATTCGCTTGTCCACAAAAGCTGAAGATTTCCCACTCTGCTCATACTCCTTTAATAGTGTCTTCTTCCGCTGAATTCACACCAAAAAGCACATTGACAAGAGCAATGTGATCCGAGTAAAACAGGATATAAAAAGTTCATGGAAATTAACAATCAGATATGGTTCATGCACTCAGGAATACGCATAAATGAAAATACTCAGCAGGTCACAAAAAAATGGAACCTTTTCAATAGCAGTGGAGCGGGAGAGCCCAACACGGCGTTCTTCACCCTTTTGCTTCTTACCCAAGATATCGAATTTTCTACGCGACCATATGCTCTCAAAAAGGTTCGGTTTCGGAGCCTTGTTTTTCATTGCTACAGAATTCGGAACACTCAACATGTTCTTCATCTTCTTCTTCTTTTTCTTGCTCGCTGAACTTCCATTTCCTGAGGGTTTCGATTTCTTTGCCATGGTTGTGGTAAATTGTTTACTTTACTTTCACAAATTATGCTTTTGCTGACAGAAAAGAAGAATTGAGGTTTTAGGGTTACAGGTTGGGTAGGGTTTTAACATAGTAGGGAAGACCGTGTTTGGAGAAGACTGAGCTGGACAAATGGGCTTAGTTTTGATTGTAGTCCCGAGTCCAGGCCCCAACTTAGCTGGGCTATCTATTTCATTTCTTAAAGCAAATAAATAAATAAAAATAGTTTATACCTATTCTCCAAGATTAGTCTCTATTTTTAAAAAGTATATTCTATTATTTAAAGAACATTTATAAATTTAAAGAGTAAATTTTTTGAAATATCATAACAGGCATTTTATATTTAACACTCGATTTTACTACTCCAAAAAATATTTGTTATTTTTCTCTATCTTTTATTTTCATTGGTTTTCTTTCAAATTATTATATTATTTTCTTTCATTGAAAATTGAAATATTTTGAATGTATTTAATTATAGAGATTGTATTCGACTCCTTTGGCACTAATCCACAGTCCGTGCATTAGCTGCCATCCTTTGGCACTATCGTTGCATTATTGTCCAATTTTTTATAACAAACTAAATTTCAAATTCTAGGTTTGAATTTTATTTTTTTCATTTCATTGTGTAGTAAAGAATTCATATCTGTTTAGATCTAAATCGATTTTTCATGATGGTAGATTATTTGTAGGTTCCAAGATATATTTGTAGAGAAGAATGAATATGTGTTTAGATTCTGAATGCAAATTTTATATATTTGTGTTGGTGCATAATCAAATCTACACACTTTATTCATAACAAAATTGCCTTTGTGTAAGCATTACAACTAACAAATTTGACATAAAAATAGCAAAAAAAATATCCAACAACTCACTCATATATGCTATTACACAAGCCTAAAGATCACGTAAATGATAGCATTACAATAACACTGCTATGATGCTAGCAAAAACAGAACTTTAATACCCTCCCATAAACTTAATGCTATTCATACAATCAATTTAAAGTAGGTCTGAGTCAACGCTAGTTCTTGGTTCCCGAACCAGAATTGTCGATATCTGAATGGAACCAATATTTTATGTAATTTTTTATTTTTTACAATCTATAGGTTGGATAAAAAAAGTGCAAAACCCAAAAACTCTAATTTGGATAATAATTTGTCTAAAACTCTAGACTCTAACACTAATAAATCATAATTGTCTCCTACTTTTTTTGTTTCTCGCTTCACGTCAGATTGTTACATTTAAGAGGTTAGTACATGTTAATATCTACAATTTAAGTTTTTTACAAATCAAAAAGTTTTAGGATTATGGTATAAGTTGATGAATTAAACCGTTTATTCTTTGCAATTCGAGTTTTCATTTTCTCGCATTGTTTGCAAACTTAGCCTTTGTTTGACTCCCATTTTTCTTAAAACTCATTTTCAATAACATTATTCTATAAAATAATTTAACGCTTAAAACCAAAAATTTTCTTATTTATTAACCACATATTTTGAAAAAAAATCACTATTTCAAAACACGTTTCTCAAAAAAAAAAAAAGGTCTCAAACAGGGGCTAAGTGATTTTATTTATTTATTTATTTTTTATAATACGTGACAATTGAACTTGGTATATTCATAACTTGGGTGTGGTGTATCTATTTTATCATCTCGAGTTCGTGCTTCTCTTTTGAAATATTTTTTTTCTTTTTTACTCAAACAGAGCAAGTTCAATATTTGGATTGCAATTTCTTAATGCTATATAGTTATGTATATGATTATTACTTTTTATCAATTCTTTTTAAAAGTAGAAGAATTTAATTACTATTCATAATAAAATTATAAGCTCCAGCATGCTTCATTTATGGATCGATTAAGATTTATTAAGAAAAAATCTTTTCTTCTCAAACTGTAATTTAATTATATTGTTTTAATTTTTCATCTTTTCGTGGTTTTTGTCTCCACTAGTTTTTGTCATGTTGCTGAATTTCTTAGGTAATTTTCTTCCTTGCACAAATATTATCGAATAGTAAAATGTTAGGTCTACGTATCGAAAAAGTCTATATGAAAATGTTTGTTAAATATGAAAATTACGAGTTCGACCCAACTAGCACCTAGAGGGGGTGAATAGGTGTATGAATGTGAAATTTAAATTTATTAATTAATAAAAGTCACAAGTCACAATTATTAATTTATCCAAATGAATTCACATGCAATACTATCCTAAATTGAATTACCACAGTTGATATATTGCACAAAAAACCACGAAATTGTTAACGAAGAAAACCCCTTGCAGTATAAAAATTCGGGGTCCAAGCTAGTAGTATCCACTATAAACGATAAAAGGCTTATAGACTGTTCAAACTCGACTAAACATTAGTATTTTATGACCTCCTGACTGTAATTACCAAGGCCCTTATGGACTGTGTGCTCCTGCAACAGCTCTCGACCCGAGAACTTCTCGTTCTCCTTCAATCGAACTCTGGTCACCTTTCTTGATTTTCAGAACTTTGGCAGATTATGCGGAAGTATGGGTTTTGGTGTTTTGATTATATGTATTCAATATTTTCAATTATTTAGTTGAATCAAAAGGAAATTGAATAATATGTAGGATTTGTAGAATGTAATATATCTCTAATAAAACAATGTTCAACCAAGACTTTTTACAAAGTGGGGCTTGGGTATATATAGTATTCAGGTTTTGGGGTAGTATATGATAGATGAAACTCTCGAAAATCGCGAACTACGGTTTCACGGGAAATACTGTTGTTCGAGCGCCAGGTGGCGACCTTGATTCTATTTTGTATGCTCGAGCATTAGCTTGGCGACAGATTGGCATAAATCTAGTAACTTTTTCTTTTTATTCCATAACCGAACACAATAACTCCTAGTTTATCTACACAACCTAATAAATGACTATTTGACTTTTAAAACTCTTTTATAACGATATTTTTGTCTACAGATTGCCAACAACTTAAAAACATAACAAAAATTATGTATAAAAATATTTTAGGTAGAACCAACCCGAACTGAAATCGACGGCTCGAGTTGGGTTCCAATAATTACAAGAATCCGAATAGTTTCACTTATGAAATACCAGAAATATAATTTGTGATTTTGGGTATTGAAATACTCAAACCAACTCACTTGACACCCAAAACTAGTTTAAAGTAGAAAATGCATAAATCTAATTAAATCATGCAATGTAACAACTGAAAATAAATTTTCATCTATTTCATCTTGACATATTTTGTTAATTTTGAGATACCAAGGGACTAATTTAAAAATAAGTTTTATGTCAAAATTTTAGCTTTCGGCCGAATGATTAAGTATTCATCTAGCGAGAAATTTCATATCAATATTTGGCTTGTCTCGAAACTCATATTAAATGACGAATTTTGTACTTTAGAAAAAGTTATTTCGGATAAGTTAAACCTAAGTTATTGTAGTATAAAGGGAGTCCTATTTTAATTAAGGTTAATCAAACAATTAACTTTTTTTTAGCCACGTGTATCATAATTTAGAATGTCACATTTGATATTTTTATTAAAATGGAGGATAAGGTGGATTTGTTTTATAGATTATACATTTATATTCCATGTAATCCAAGTTAACCAATTTCATCATTTTGGCTAGGATTTCTATTTGAAATCAAATTCTATCCAATCTTCAAAAACGATTTAGACTCCTGATTTCATTGGAACTCCAATCGACATTAAATTACAACACATTTTAGATACATATACATACACACACGGTAGACCCACTAAAAAAAAGGAGAAACATTTTTACGTTTAAGATTTGGAGAGGAGTTCCGTTCGACGTAGACACCATTTTATCACCACAACTAAGGTAGGATCCCTATGCAAAGTTGTTGTTATATGAATCAAAATTTCATTTAAGCATGTTATTTGTTGTAATTGCTCATGAAGTATATGAAGTGCTTTTAAGGGTTTCTTTTAAATGTTGATGCAAGAAAGGTTACATGTTTAACTAATGGTCGCAGAGGCTCATCAAAACCTTAAGTATATATGTTAAACTGATGGTCGCAGAGACTCATCAGAACTTAAAGTAGATCGTTTGATCATCTATTTATATGTTTATGAAGGTAATATGTAAGGATACATAATTAAATGATTATATGTTCATATAGCATGTGTAGTTTACTGAGTATTTCTTTGAGATGCTCACTCATATTTAACATTTTCAGAGTAATCGGATATCATGCGATGGCTTGGCAAGAATGGCATATAAAATTTTTAGAGAAACTTATTTCTTATGTTTTAGATTGCCACTTTTATGTTTAATAATCATTGGGGTATCCTAGAAACTATAGTTTAAATCCATATTTTGAGACGGAAAATTTTAATGTTTGAACATGTGTTTAGTAAATTCCAGCATTCTGCCATTATTTTAAAAATTGTTCTATGGTCGATATATTTGGAATTTTAGCATAATTTTAATTGGAAAATGATCCTTTGTGATTTATCTATCATATGCAACTGAAAATAAGCCGATCGGAGTCCCGTAGAATTTACTATAGTAATTTTAGTAAATTGTGACAATCAAATTCGGGAAACACAAACCAGCTTGTTTAAAAAATAATTTCGTGCCTCAAACGTTGTCATCGAGATCCCAAATTTTTATATGTTGTACTTATATGAGTTTTATACTTTTCTATAAAATTTTATAAATGTTTGTCATGGTTTGTTAGGTCAAATATTTTTTGCAAACTCGCCGTGTAACTGTAGAAAACTGTTTCAGCTTGCTCTTTTTTAAAAAAACTCCTTCCAAATTGTTTTGTTCCGTATTGTTTTTAAGTTTATATGTTTAAAAAAATATTATGATTATATAGTTTGAGTAAATAAATTCTAATTTAGAAACTTTCTTAAATCTCATATTTTTAGAGATTAACGTTAAAGAACGCATTCTTGGTAACACTCTGAGTTATTAGAATTCGGGGCATTACAGTTTGGTATCAGAAAGCGGTTTACGTTTTTGTAGACTTGAA